GTCATGCCACGGCTCCCAGCTTTCATTCAAGCCATCACATCACCTCAACCGGGGTGTGGATGCCGACCCTATCGCGGCGCTCAACAATGGTACCGAACATGTGGTGTCCACAAATGTTCGGAAAATCCCTGGCGATCATCGCTCACACGACCCACGAAGAAGGCGCTAACAACCAGCGCTGTCATCTTGTACTGGAGTCACGCTCCCCTCAACTAGGATAGAGCCAATGACGTCAATTGAATGACGTAGTCTGAAGCAACCCCCACGAGGAAATGGCGCCAGAGGAGGGGGTCCACAGACAGGAGGAGCGGGTGTGGTCCGCCGTGAAACAATTCCGTGCCTCGTCGGCCTCGGTCCCAGACCGCGATACGCCGACGAAGGTGTACATCGATCGGAATGGATCCTCGGTCTGGCCTGGAGAAGCCGGGGAACCCTCAGCAGGCCGCGCTCGGTGACTTGAGGTCGCTGTTGGGTGCTGTCGTGCGGAACCTCGCGGGGACGCCCATGGCATCGCAGTTGACCATCCAGCTGTGGCGGAGGCCAAACGTCGCGCCCTACAGAAAGGTGGCCCCTTCGACCTTTTCCCTCTACCTTCACCGTCCCAGGTGTGTGCATACAACGGGGGTACATGGTATAGGGACCGCACAACTTAATAGGCTTGAGTCCGGAAGCTGGCCCTAGTGCACCGCGGGTTCCAAAATGGTTCGGAAATCGATTCAAATTCGATTTAAATTCCGTTCAAATTTCGGGCATATTTAGCGGCGCCGTTCATGTCGTTCATGCTCCACTTTCGTGTTAGCCTACATGTCCACCTGCGTATATATGCTGCACAATGCAACAGTACCAGATTATTTGTTACCTCATTTCCACGGCGATGATTTGAACAACTTTGAAGATGCCCCCGAGTAGCAGCTCTAGGGTTAGGGTTAGGTGATTTCTCGGTTTGTACGTGCGCTACTGAGGCAGGCAACCCTCTAATGGTGCTGATGAAACTTAGGACATGGAATCAATATGCGCATGAAGTACAGTTAGGGGTTAGCGCCATCCGTACGTCGAAGATGCTGATAGGGGAAAAGTGCCTGGGCTAGATACGCACGAAGATAAGTTTGACGATGCTGTTCGAGTGTACGGTTCCTGTCCATCCATCACGCACCGCTTCCCCCATGTTTCTGTCGTACCTGACCATGGATGTTCGGAACTACGCAGACGGACCGAGAGCTGTTTTAAAAAGGAGCGGAACAGTGCCACTTGACCTCCGCCATTCTTCGCGGTATCAATCACGAAGATGGGCGTGAGGCAGGCACTCCCTATCTCACGGATGGAGACGGCAACTGCTTGTTAAACCCCGTGGCCATGCTGCTCGTGAAGAAGCAACCACGTGGGGTTAGGAACGCCGTGAAGACGATGGCAGCTTAGCTCCGGCTGGGGATTGTCGTGGAAGGCAACATCGAGGTGTACCTCGATCGCCAGTATGAGTTCTACGGCACGTGGGACAACTATGTGGATCAGGTGGTGTTCGACCTGAAGAGGTGTGGCTGGGTGGTGGACGCAATGCCGGTGAACCGTTGGCGAATGGCGTCGCGTGACTGCGCACGGCTGGTGTTCTTAGGATGTCTGCACCACATCGCTCGGGATAAAGTATTCCTCCAGCAGTTCGTGCTTCCTATGCTGGCCACCGTCATCCGGGGACCTGTCCGCGTATTTGTGCCATGTGAGGCTCTCAATTCTTTAGGAATTCTCACGGCGTATTTCGTTCTGTCGGCATTGGCGTTTTAATGTTGAATTCGGTTAATTTTTAATACCGTCATTCCCGTTCCACGTTTCAGTTCCATGAGCAAAACCATCTGCGCGCGTTCGATTGGTGTTTCACGTTCGTCGCTAGTTTTCATCACTAGCTTTGCACGGGGGTCACCCGATAATGGCGGCAAACCTGCCGGCGTGAGGGCGCACGCGAAAATTTCGCGAAGCTACGTGTGATTCTTGTTGAGGNATTCTTTAGGAATTCTCACGGCGTATTTCGTTCTGTCGGCATTGGCGTTATAATGTTGAATTCGGTTAATTTTT